GTTTCTTCAGGTACCTTGGCGGCCTCGGCTAATTTTTTTATCGCGGCGATTCCTTTCGAGTAGCCCCCTGGGCCGTAGTATATCTTTGTGAGTTTGGCGTCCATACAAGTAAGGTGTAAAAAAGTTTAAAGGAACCGGAAGGCTGCGTAGCCCAGAGCGAGAGCGCCGGCGCCCACGAACATGAGTTCACCCTTTTTCTGCTGCTCGCTTGGCTGATAGAAATCTGAAAACTTGGGCTCCTTGGGGGGTATCATCTGTTTGTCAGGATGCGCCTGGTTGTAGAGTTTGAAGGCATAGTCCGAGTTGGTGAAGTTCTGCTTGGCCTGCTCCTTTGTTTGCACGTTGGTCACGATCGAGTCAAGAAGATGGGTGCACTCGCGCGTGTATTTGGCGTAAGCCGCTTGGTACGCCTTGAGAGCCTTGTCGTGGCGCTTTTTTCTTCAAGCGCAGCTTTCTCGCCCCCCGCCAGATAATTGCCACTGATAAAAGCTGTGGCGTTCAACACAGCCCCGCCAACCATAATCGCGATGCTCGCCATGGTGTTATATAGCAGAATCCTTTTTTCAAATAATTTTAACTGTCCTTGGGTACTGTTTCCTGGTTGCATAAGTATTTGATGTAATCAGCTTGGTACGCCTCGAAAGCTTTATCAAAGCGCACTTTTTTCTTGGATCGCAGCTTTGTAGATAGAGGCAGCTAATGACATATTTGTCATTACAATGTAAAAATCGTCAGGCCCGTTATCACCAATAAGCTTGATGCAGTTGTCAAGGTATCCGATGCAAATGTCTCTGTGCTCCTCGAAAGCTTTATGAAAGCGCAATCTTTCTTCAAACGCGTCTTTGTAGCTACTACGGCTGGACATCAACATATCGTCGACCTTGAAACAAAAAGCTGCAGGCCCGTTGTACATATCAATGATGCTCTGCATGTTATTTGTATATAGGATATTTTTTCAAATCAAAAATTTTTTCTAAACGCTGGTGGGAAGGATTTTTTGGTCCTCTAGGTACTTTTCGAGCGCAATGCTTCCCGCCATGATGGCTGTGAACTTCATGTAATTCATCGGGCTGCTGCTGGGATCAGAAGTGAAATTCTCTTTCGCAACCTTTTTTGCGGCCCACCTGATGCCCGCAGCTAATCCCGTGAGAGTTGCGGCCTCAATGACTGTCTTGACAAGCTTGTCGGACATGGCGCATTTGATATAAGTAAAAAACAAAAGTTTCAAACGAATTTATCTGTCTTTTTTTCCGCTTGCTCTTTATTTCAATTTGGCTGCCTTTCTGGGAATTCCAGGCAAAAACTTTGTTTTGGTGATTCTGCACACAGTACACTTCACTTTTAGCGGTCACCGGTTGCTTTTTGTAGCAACAATTTTTGCTGTTCCTCGGACGTTTGGTGTCACTCGCCCGTCTTTCACGCAGTAGACTTCCATCTGAGTATATTTCAAAAAACCTTTTCTCCAAACTGTGTTCATTTAATCATTCTTCCCCACAGCTTCTTCTTCTTCTATCCTTTTCTTCTCTTCTAGTCTTTTCATCTCTTCTGGTATTCTTCTTTCTTTGCTTTCTTTTCTTATTTCCATTTCTTCGTCCGTTTCATACTGCGTTGCGTTGAGAAAATCGTTGGTTCTTTCGAAAACCTTTACGTTGAAGTCGTACCATACCAACACAATACCAAAAATTGCTGCTGCAGAGATGAGAACCTGCAGAATGTCAACTTTCGGCATCGTGATATTCATTACACGTAAAAGTTTAAATCATTTTTTTAAAATCCTTTTCGCTGTGTCGCGCAAGCAGGTTCTGTATCAACACGTGCAGGCTCAGGCATGGGCTCAGGCATTTTTTTGTCGAATGCGGTCTTGGCCATAGCCTTGAGCTCTTCCTGTTTGTAATAAATCCCGAGCAGTGAAACACCTATGCCGCCAATAGCAATCCATTGATTGCTGCTGAGGCCGCTGCTCTTTGGGCTTTCGCCTTCTGTAGTCGGGGCGGGCTCAGGAGGCTCTGTGGCGGCATTCACCTTATTTTCCCCGCGAGTCCTATAAGCCTCGGCATCTTTCTTCTGTTGTTCCCGTGCCTGCCACGTTCTTTCAGATGTCGCTTTTCCAGCAGCCACACGCTTAGGTTTCTCTCACGCTGCGTGGTTGGAGTTGGAGTTGTCGCTTGCTGTGTGATATCTACTGCAGGCGCTGCCTGGGTCTCGACCTGAAGCGCG